TTTTTTTAAATGTGGCTTTTTAAAATGTGCAAAAATAGAAGGATGGAGCGAGAGAACAGAGTCCAGAAAAAGATGCATTCATACATCACCACCTGAGTTATGCAAATTCAATAGTGAAAAGATGGTGTATTTCAATAAATCATGCCAGGCCCATTAGTTATCTGTAGGCAGATAAAATAAACATGGACTCATAAATAAAATCATATGCTAAATTTAATTGGAAATGAAACCTGGTCTTAAAAGGAGCTTTCTTCTTAAGCTTTTCAATGAAAACATAGATTCTCTTTATGATCTACGGATAAGCAGTGATTTGTTGAACAAAATGCAAAGCATAGTGTTTATAAAACATGGTTTAGAGAACCACAGGCAAACCACTGAGTGAGGGGAGATAGTCCTCACCCACACACTGAAGGCTCGAATCAGAAATACAGCCTGCCCTGGCTGGTGTAGCTCAGTGGTTTGAGCGCTGGCCTGCAAGCTAAAGGGTGACTGGTTTGATTCCCAATCAGGGCACAGGCCTGGGTTTGGGCCAGGTCCCCAGTAGGGGGTGCTGCGAGAGGCAATCACACATTGATGTTTCTCCCCTTCTCTTTCTCCCTCCCTCTGTCTAAAAATAAATAAATAAAATCTTTTAAAAATCACATTAAACACACACACGCACACACACACACACACACACACACACACACATCTTGACCTACAAACAAAAAGAAAACCAACTAGTTTTAACATGAGCAAAAGAACTGAAAGACACCTCGTAAAAGAGGATGCTCCGATGGCTGGAAAGAATTTGAAAGGAGCTCTGGGAGCACAACCTGGACGGATGTCTGTAATTAAAAAGAGCGACCAGTTCTGCATTTAATCGACGCCGGGTGCAGCGTGCACCCAGCCAATGGGTAGTGAATTGATGCTGCGATTTTGAAAATCTCTTTCGTAATATTTATAGTCACTAAACCTATGCCTCCCCTGTGATCTGGAACTTCCATTTCCAAGCAGATAACCAAGAGAATCGAGCGCAGATGCTCAGAGAGAGTTGTAGGAACATATTTATGTCAGCGAAATAGTATGTGGTGTATTGAGTAACACAATGAAATGCCACGTGCAGCAATAAAAAATGAAGAATTGCTACATAAAGCAATAATATATTGGGTGAAATAAACCAGATGTTAAGTAGAAACGACTACATGATTCCATGTGAGATTTCAGAGCGGGCAAAACCAGGCTATTGTGGTTAGCTGGGGGTTGGGAGTTGGGGCGGGGGGGGGGGGGCGCTGCGTGGGAAGTTGGCCCGGGGACTGGGACGGGACACCTGGAAATTGTCCTCACGTTAATCTGCATGACGTACGATGCTCTCCTTGTGCATATCGCGTATGCATGGATTAAAAAGTCACTGAACCATTCTTCTAAGAGGAGTGCATTTTGCTGTGTGTGTTTTCTTTAAGTTGAAGAGGGAAAATTTTTTTTAACCGTAAAACATCATTACTTTAGAAGCAGCGGTTTGAGAGCGGAAGGGATAGGATTCAAACAAAACCCAGAAACGAGAGAGAGTCAATCAACCTAAGTGCTGCAGCGGTCCCGCTGTGTTCAACCCGGAGTTCGCTCTACTTCTTCGCGCCTGTAGGAGGTGAAGCGAGGCCAGGAAAGGAAACCTGGGGTAATTCTCCTGGCAGCCGCTAGAGGGTCCCCTGGTCACGGCAGCGGGTTGGCGCCCCGCTGGGGTTTCTCCCCCTCCCAGCGCGACTCAGCGGAGCCTCTATTTGCGCCCCAGGCTTTCAGGACATGCACCCAGAACCGCTGCACGCCTTGCTGCAGGGGGCTCGGTGGCCTCAGGGTGCATGGGCTGCGGACCAGGGGATCAATCCCAAACGCTGCCGCTCACGGTACTTTTTATTTCCCTTCTTTTCCTGCGAACTCGGGGAATGAACGGCTGGCCAATCCCGTAAGCCCCTGTGGAACTGTCAGCTTTTCTGGTGCTGAAGATGGAAAGAACCGGGGGCAAGAAAAAGAAAAAGAGAGTGTGCACTGCGCATGCTCCTGGAGCACCGCTTTCCTTTTCCCTCCCTCCCTCTCTCCCGCCCCACCCCCTTCGCACTGGTCAAGCTGGGGAAGAAAATCAAAGCCTAAAAGCTTGCTCTTTGAAGACTCTAGATTCCTGACCTTGCATTTTGCTTTCAGACTTAGGCCCAGAAACCTTGCATTGGATTTTTACTTCAACTAAACTCATTTAGCTTAGAAAGAAAAGAAGGAAGGAGAGAGAGAGAGAGAGAGAGAGAGAGAGAGAGAGAGAGAGAGAAATGTTGTTCCAGATCACAACGCAGGAAGGGGAGTTTTTCAAGCTAAAATGTTCAGGCCTACCAAGCTGACCCACTAAGTCCAATCAATGGAGCCGAGCGTTCCAAATTCCAGAGGACCTCAGTCTGTGTTCATTCACAATAACCACACACCAAACGTGTGTGAGGAAAGAAAAGGATGAAGAACAGAGAGATGGGTAAAGGACATCACTTTTTCTTTTCACTAACTGAACTCTAAAAACTTCACAGGGCACACCTCATTATACAGATCATTTACAAAAACATTCAAGCGTTGATCTGCTTTCATTATCAGCAATTTTTGAGCATTTATACTCACGTTCAGATAGTAAAGAAGGCAGCGAGGAGCCTAAAACTTGGCTTGAAGAAGCAAATCACAAGGGCTTCCCAATCCCCAACTCACCGCGAGGCAAGGCGGCTAGTCATTTAGACTGAGGAGTTAGAACCGGCTGCCTGGTGTGAACCCCCAGTGCTCGGCCTTGTAGCCGTGCAGTCTCAGCGGAGTGACTTCGCACCCCCGTGCCTTTGCTCCACCTTGAAAATGGAAATAATGGTAGAAGAGTTCAAATGAGTTCATTCATGTGAAGCCTTCACATCAGCCTGGGTCCCTATTACATGATCAATATCTGGTGGCTATTTTTACCTGAGATAAGAGAGAACAGCTTCTTTTTATTTGTGTTTTTCTCACAATACACTTAAAAATTATGGGGAGACCTGACATGCTTTTACAAGCAACTGATGAATGATAACCAATCATTGAACTGATTTTTATTTATTTGTATATTTTTAAAACACTTTATGTATTAATTTTTAGGGAAAGGGAGGGAGAAAGAGAGGGAAAGGAACATCAATGTGTGGTTCTCTCTCGAGTGCCCCCTACTGGGGACCTGGCCTGCAACCCAGGCATATGCCCTGACTGGGAATTGAACCAGTGACCCTTTGGTTCACAGGCCGGTGCCCAATCCATTGAGCTACCCCAGCCAGGGCCTACCTGACTTTTAAAGTGCTCAGTTGTGTGACTTTTAAAGTGCTCAGTTGTGGAAAAAAATGAGAGATTAGGCTAGAGTGTGATAGACTTATTCCATTGAATCTGGAATAAACGGTAAACGTGTTGGAGGTGGCAGGATGCAGGAATGTTCTATTCTTCCTGGAAGACAAAAGCTCCGTGAGAGAGGGGTGGGAGACAGAGAAGGACGCCCTGGGAAAGAGTGGGCTGAGTCGGAGGCCACACAGGGACCAGAAGATGGCAATGCTGAGGAGGCGACAGGCCCATTGTTAAAAAAAAAATGTCATCATCAACTTCAGCCCACTCACTGCGTGTTCACGTTCAAATTGATGAATGCAGAATAAGGGACAACATCCAACTTACTCTTCTAGGTATTTTATAAACAAAACCACTTAACTACATCAAAGAAAAAGTTATTATACCAGTTCATAATTCTGTACATAATAGTTCTAAGTATAAAACACTTAGTGAGAAGTATTTTTTTTTTTGCAACATAGAAGCAAACTTCTTGGCGGATTTATTCTAAACTAAGCAAAATATTGTTGTAGTTAAATGGTGAAAGACAAGTTTCCTGGGTTATTATTAAAAACGAAAACAAATGAATTTTTCAGTCCCTGGAGTATTTCATTACATTAAATAAAGTGCCCTTCCTGGCTCCATCAGACAGAATGTCTGTTCCTTTTTGACTTCACATTTTATTTTCACCACCACTGTTTATTGGGGTGCATTAGGCACTTTTTTTAAGTGAGAAAGGTACACATCGGGGGTGCTTTTCTCCAAATATTCCCCAGCGAGCTACTTTTTCAAGCAGAATCTTGGTAGTGCAGAGGGGGTCCAGCGACCCAGCGCGACGCGGACACGGAGAGGCTGTTTTCCGCAAACCCTGTCTCTCTGGGGCCGCGGCCTACCGAGAGGGAGGGGCCCTGAGTGTGGGTGGGCGGGTGGGGGGCCACGGGAAGTCAGAGGGCGCCTCCGGAGAGCCACTGCTTCCTGTTGAAATGACAGGAGCTACCGGGGGCTCCCTCTTGGCCGCGAGGCGCCAGTCCCTGGGACCCACCCTCAGGCTCCCTGCGGGAACCCCAAGCCTCCCGGCCCGCGCGGAGCCCGCCCCCTTCGCGGCCTCAAGCGCGGAGCCCACTCCAACCTCCCCGTCTTCGCTTAGCGCGTTGTCAAGCGTGTAATTGGGGAAACTCCTCCCCGCCGGGACCGCCTCGGAGGCGCCGCCGCGAACAGCCGCCTCGCTGCCCCCACCTCCGAGCGCGCGGCAGCGGCCACAGCGCGCAGAACCCACGGCGCGCAGAACCCACCGCGCGGGCACCGGCTGGCAGCTGCTCAAGGGTGGGCTGCGCCGCGCCTGGCCTCGGGCTGCGGGGCCAAGGGCGGCTCGCGCCCACCCGATCCCGCCACCCGGCGGCGCGGACCCGGAGGGGAGCGCGGGCGGAGGGGGGTGGCGCGCCGCGGCGGCCGGGTGTCCCTAGTGCGCCCCGCGGAGCCGCGCGCAGACCCGCCGGCCGTCGGGGGCGCGGCTGGCGGCCCGAGCCCACACCTGTGCTGCCTCGGCGGCTTGGCGCGGGTGTCGCGCCGCAGTCCGCGGCATCGGAGGCGGCGAGGGCGAGGACCGCGTTCCGGAGGAAGTGGCGCCCGGCCCGAGGCCTCGGACCCCGCGCCCCGAGCTCCACAGCAGCATGGCCCCGAAGCTCCTGCTCCTCCTCTGCCTCTTCTCTGGCTTGCACGCGCGGTAAGTGGCTCGCGGGCTCCGCATCCAGCAGGGCTCTGAGCCAGGCTGAAGGGCGGCGGGGGGGCGCTGTCCTGGACCGGAGTCCCCGGCGCGCCCGCCGTCGGCTGAGCTGCGGCAGAGCCCGGGGGGCCGGCGGGGAAGCCGGGGGAGTCGGCCGGCGCCTCACCTGTCCCGTCTCCCCGGGACGGGGCTGTCTGCCTCTCCAGGCGGGGCGGCTGGCTGCAGCCCTCTCAGCAGCCCGGAATGTGGCAACCGACTCTGCTCCTGAAGCTTTCATGATCTGACGTTTTAAGGGTCTTGACAACCAAAATCCTAGAGGACCAGCAGTGGCTCCCTCCTTATCTACTCCCCCTGCCCCCAGTTCGAGGGCTCCGGGGTCTGCCTCACGCACTGGCCGGCATTCTGATCGTTGCTCTCACTCCGAGTCCCCGGGACCCAGGAGTGGTGATTTCCTAGCTGCCCAGGTTAAATCGGGCTGGAGGCAGGTGGAGGGTTGGGACCAGGTGGGCTGCGGAGAGCCCTGCTGTTCGGGAAGGACTTCCGCCCCCAGGTCCTGCAGACACACGCGTGTGCCCCTCTGGGGGAGCCGCTGGTCACACAGCTCTGAAGGCAGCATGTTGGAATTGACGATAAAGGCTTCTGCCCGGGAAGCTAAAGAATCATCTCACTGTTATAAACACCTTTACCCTCCGTCCAGGACACTCTGCTAACCACGGAGCCTGGAGACGTTCCAGCGAAGGATGAAGGTGGCTGGTGCAGGTGCAAGGGAGGGCCCTGGGCCCAGGAGGGTTAAGCCCTGTAAATATGACTGGAGACTCTAGGCTTGGTGTCTTTAACTCTGTCTTCCCAGCTAGATCTCTGGTCCAAAGACTGCAGACTGCTCTGTGCTTTGGAAATGTCCCCCGAATCCCACCTCCCCCAAATCTCTGGGAGCCCCACCCTCAAAACACCCTTGTTTTGACACTTTTCCTTCATCTGGATCTGGGACCTAGAGAGTGTTGGCTGCTGGCGGCCTGACAGGTGTCAGCCAGCAGGGTCAGAGGTCTTGTGTTTCCATTCATATTTGTGAAGTCGGGGCGAAGCAGGAATGCACACTCGCAATGCTCCAAACGGGAGGGGACCCCCAGTTCTCACTGCCCACCTTCGGCAGGGGTGCCCGCCCCTGAGGAAGAAAGCCCTGGCCCTCGGAGCACGCCTCTTCCCTGGAAGTTGAACTGTGTGAGGCGGACCGTGTGCCAGGGACAGCGGGCACCGCTGGTGACTCAGAGGCAGCTCTCCGCCAGGCAGGGCAGCCCGAGAACCTTTCCACGGGAGTTTCTCCAGCTTTAAGGAGAGAGCGGGAGAGCACATTCGGAGGCTGACTCTGCCCCAGCGTGTTTCCACTTAAGAGACCAAGAGCCCCGCCGACCACACCAGGCGTGATGTTGGGGTCCAAAGTCACCTCATCTACATCTGAAGTCCTGTCTCCGTGACCTCGCTCTTGCCACTGATGGGGTGAAGTGACCCACAGCCCAGGGCTAGATAACTGTTGGGATCCGTGGAGGCTTAATGAAGGAAAACTGTCTTCAGCAAATAGAGACAGACTCATAGACAGAAGAGCAAGCTGACAGCTCTCGGGGTGAAGGGGGCACATCGAAGAGTGGAGGGATTGAGAAAAAGAGAGAGAGAGAAAGAACTCACAGCCACGGACAGCAGTGTGGTGGCTGACTACAGGGGAGGGGGTGGAGGTGGAAGAGGGGATGGTAATGGAAAAAATACAGTTCAGAGGAGAACCGCCTGTGGTCGTTGATGTGTTCAGTAGGAAGATGTGTGTTGAACTTGGAGCAGTCTGCTTCCTAGGCATTCTCACTCACACACACACACACACACACACACACACCACACACCACGTCCGTCTCCTTCAAGGCAGGTGTCACGTTGCAGGACGGTCTATGTCCAGGTGGCTCCCTGGCCTTCCAACGAGAGGTCGCAGAGCATTTGGAGAAAATCCAAATGCTACTACCCTGATTGTTTGCTCTCTGCATCTCGTGCGGAAGTGTCTTTGTTCTCTAAATGCATTTTACAGATGTCTGAAGTAATCTCATGTCCGGTGTCATCTTTTGAAGCTGTCATTGGTGCTCAGAGGGGTCTCACTGGCACCTAGGATGCACCCCTGGTGTGGCCAAGCCCTGGGAAAAGTGGTGACGGACAGTTGTGCCCGGTGCAGATGGCTCCCTGGAGGGAGATGTGCCCCCTCTCTGTCACCCGTGGATGCGTTGATTGTGCATTGAAATGTACTGAGCCGCGCCGGGGCCTCAGCGATACTAGGAGAGCAATTAGCTGCTCCCCAAGGCTTAGGAGGTCCTGGTAGTGTCTAAACACACTCCAGACTCCCTCCTGGTCCTTCTGGTTGAAGAGAAGGCACAAGCCATGGAACCAGCCCCCGAGGCTGAGCACTGACTTGACAACGACCCACACGGCCGCCAGGTTGTTTTCCAGAAAAAGCTAATTGCAGCGATGGTGTCTGGGAGCCACCAATCCTAATAACAGAAAGCTCGTAAAGATTATAGATCACCCATTTAGAATTTGGAGAAACAGAGCAGTTTTGTTTTATATCCACTGTAGCGGGTCCCCTGAGGGGACATTTGGTTTCCATTAAAGTGAGGGTTTTCCCGTGGGGCTGGCGCTTCCTGGCGTTGGCGCTGGGAGGCTTCTGTTTCCTTCTTGCAAGTTCTGCAGCAAACTGACAGGGAATTGGAATCGGAAGAGCAGAGTGTCCACCGCCGAGGGGTGGGGGGTACACCTGTCCCCTGTCTGGTCCAGCTCAGTCCCAGAGCCACGGGTCCCCTTTGCCGAGAGAGAGAGAGAGAGAGAGAGAGAGAGAGAGAGAGAGAGAGAGAGGAAGGCGGTTTCTTTTCCCTTCTGCCTCCCGGCTTTCACCTGCCCTGGCCTCTGAGGGAGCAGCTTATGCAATTTCAGGGAAGCCCTCATCGCCACTAGAGGGAGAATTAGACTCATTTTAATACCTGTCACCAAAGTAGCTGGGAGTAATTTCTCAGAAACCAAGGCTGTGGATGCAGAACACTGACAAGATGGTCAGGGAGCTTGGGCAGTCTGTACCCCCAGAATCCCTGGGGCGGGGAGGGCAAGATGGGTCCCTGCCAGCGAGCTGTCGTTGGGTGTGGGGAGAGGAGGAAGGAAGGGGGTGAGGGAGGAGAGGAAGGGAAGAGACAGCCTGCAGAGGGGCGAGGAGAGCTCTGTGGCCCAGCTGGACCCAGGCCTGAGGGTGCTGTGTGCGCTTTGGCCGAGTTCAGCCAACCCTCTCCGTTCATGTCCCAGCCCCTCTGCTCTGCAGTCAGTGGCTGGCCACCCTCCTCCCAGAGAACGGGTTTTGGCCACTGTTTTTCTTTTTTTTCAAAATGATGAAATTAATATTCCTGACGCTATTCCCGATAAGAGAAATGACTTTACAGTGACATTTAAAAATCCACAGTGTTATTTGTGAAAGTTCAGATTTACAGATAATGAAACGTAGCATATCGCTTTCTGAGTACGTGGCCCAAGTTTGATGCGTTTCTTATGGATGGTGAATGTTCACTGTGAGTAAAAACTCATGACAACTTATAGTGGTGATGGATGATTTATTTTATCCTTCTAGACCATAGGTATTCAGGAAATAAAAGGACAGATTTAGATCAGAGTAGGAACAACTTGAACTCGGTCTCATGAGACATACAGCATGTGCTCATTACTGAAATCTCACATACGTGTGTGTATTACCCGGCTCCAGGCGTCACTCCTGTGATCTGTGTTAACACTCATGAAAAAGACTCATGGATATAACATGTGACACATTGGATTACATATGGTTTAAACTATTATATAATGTGTATATACACATAAAGATTATAGTTCTGAAAACGAAGTAGAGGTAATGAACTTTAAAAAGTTTTATTTTTTCATTCATTTCATGTTCGTTATAAATAACTCAGAAAAGTCCAAAAATTAACTTAAGAAACTTATATCCCAGTTTGGCCAGGCGGCTCAGTTAGTTGGAGCATCGTCCCCCTATGCCAAGGTTACGGGTTCGATCCCCAGTCAGGACACATAAAGAAGCAGCCAGTGAAAGCATCAGTTAGTGGAACAACAAATCAAAGGTTTTCTCTCTCTGGTGGGTGGCAGTCCACCTGAAAATGCTTCTCTGCAGCAGGAGGCCCTCTCCTCTCTTCCATTCCAAAGGGCTGTGTTGTTGAGACGGCCTCGCTCACGCAGGAAACTACATGTTGTACCCTTGAGGCCTAGGTGACAATGAAAGGAACCAATGCCAGCTCCAGAAAGTCGCTTCTGTAGGAACTTTATCAAGACACTGGATCTACCCGTGTAGGACAAAAGAAGAAGAACGAGGAGGAGGAGAGGATGAAGAAGAAGAAGGAGGAGGAGGAGGGGGAAAAAGAACAACAACCAGGGAAATTACCTGTGGGGGCTGTGCAAAAATAAGTTTTCTGGGAATTGAAAGAATCAAAATTGCAATAGATTAATATAGACTACAAGTGAGAAATCTAGCTTTTGTAAAGCAGAATGCTCGAATTAGCATAATCAGCGCACCTACAGGGAAATAGGAAGCGAGCAAAACAAACGGACAAGTGTCTGGTGCTCATGGAATCCGAGGAGTGCAAATGAATTTTATAATTCAAATATTGCACGCACGGTCCCCAAAGCCCCATGCACCCACACACACAGCGAGGGCAGCCTTGACCCTCAGAGCCAGAAGGGAAAAGTTCAACGGCCAAGACTCCCTACTTCAAAATAGAGATGCCACATGGATAATGTTAGTAAAGGACAGTGCTTTAACTGAATAAGAGAGAGAAGTAGCTGTCATCGAGGGCGCCCCTTCAAGTCCCCCAGGAGAGGCGGCGGTCAGCCTCAGCCCTGCACCGAACGAGCTCAGAGACGCCCCAGCATTCTTTCGGACCCATGTCCGGAGGAGCCAAAATGATGAAGATGTATTAGAAAGATTTTAATTAAAAAATTATTTATTGCTTTTTAAAGAAGAAGAAAGAGAAAGAAGGAGAGAGAGAGAGATGAATTTGTTGTTCCACTTACTGATGCATTCATTGGTTGACACTTCTCTGTGCTCTGACCCGTGATCGAACCCACAACCTTGTCATATCGGGATGATGCTCTAACCCACTTAGTTCCCTGGCTAGGGCAAAAGATTTTAATTTTCAGTTTGTGTTGTCAGAGGCCTGTGACTTGCCAGAGAGTTTACCAACAATATCTCTCTTCCTTGCACCCCACCTCATCCAGCCCCCATGTGTGGACCAAAGATCCCAGAGTCAAACTCATCTATTTTCAGTGCATGCAATCTGTAAATGTTATTCTCACTTTCAACTAAAATGAAGTCTTCTTGTGCATGGGGCGGAAGGTGGGGAATGGCAGAGGCTGAATAAGTCACCCTTGGACTAACATCTGGAAGGTTTGTGCCTTGCGCTTCAGAGGTTGTCAAGGTGAATTCAAGCACAGTTCCCCTTGGACATGGAATCATTTTTGTAATATTTAATGAAGACATGACGATGTGAATCCTTCTTCTTAAGGAATCTTTCTAATTTATGTCTCTTTTTATTGTGTTTCCTATTTCAACGATTTATTTATTTTTAGAGAGAGAGAAAGGGAGGGAGAGAGAGAAACATCAATGTCGGTTGCCTCTCCTGTGCCCCCTACTAGGGACCTGGCCCACAATCCAGACCTGTGCCCTGACTGGAAATCGAACCTTCGACCCCTTGGTTCCCAGGCTGGTGCTCAGTCCCCTGAGCCACACCAACCAGGACTTTTATTTTTTTTTATTTGAGAGAGAATCCTGGGGTTGGGGCCAGGGCTCGGGTGGGCCACGTTTAAGACACTTTCTGGAGCTGTTGACACAACTAACCCTTTGTGTCCTAATTGCAGGTCCAGAGAGGTGGAGGAGGATGAAAATGAAGACTCATCATCCAACCAAAAGTGGGTTTTGGCTCCAAAGTCCCAAGATACTGACGTGACTCTCATCCTCAACAAGTTGCTGAGAGAATACGATAAAAAGCTGAGGCCAGACATCGGGAGTGAGTGTCCATCTTTGTCATTCCAGTAGAACGTGTACGGTGATGGTGTATTTTGGAGGGTTTTGGTTGCAATAATTATAAATTCACAGGAAGCTGCAAAGATAGAGTCACACCATGCATGACTGTAGAATGGTATCAAAACCTGAAGTTGACGTCGGTCCTGTGCGTGTGTCTGGTTCCGTGTCATCTTGTCACGCATAGATTTGCAGAAGGGGCTCCGTAGTCACAGTGCTGAACTCGCTTCCTCGCCCGAAAGTCCCCTCCCGCTTCCCCTTAGGGTCACACCCAGCAAAATCCCTGAGTCCTGTCAGCCACTCACGTGTTGTCCATTTCTGTATGTTTGTCCTTGTGAGAGTGTCATGCCTGCAGTCCTCTGGGATGTGACATTGGAGAAGAGCTACTCTTCCGTTCAGGTGGCGTGTATCATCATTTGTTCTTCCTTCCTGCTGAGGGATCTTCCAGGGTGTAGATCTGGCACACTTTGTATATTCATTCCCCAGTCAAGGCACATGCGGGTGGTTTCCAGTTTTCTACTATTACAAAGAAAATGGCTATGTGCATTAGTACACAGGTTTCTGTGGGGACATTTGACTTAATTCTTTGGGACAAATGCCCAGGGGCAGGCTGGCTAGAGTGTACGATGAATGACTATTTGGTTTTTCAGGAAACCCTCAAACTCTTCTCCAAAGTGGCTGCTCCATTTTCTATTCTCACCAGTGATGGACGAGAAACTGAATTTCATTGTATCTTCACCAGCAATGGCATTGTCATTATTTTTAGTTATAGATGCTTTAATAAGTGTATATCTGATAGGCTGATATCTCACTGTGGTCTTATTTACGTTTTCCCAATGGTTAGTGATGGTGAGCACTTTTTCTGTGCTCATTTGCCACCAGTGTGTCCTCTTTATTGAAGTGTCTCTTCATATTGGTTGCCCTTAAACACTGAATTATTTTGTTTTATTATTTGTTGTATATCAAGAGTTTTTTTAATATATTCTAGGTGTTATTCCTTTGCTAGATGTAGTTTGCAGTTTATCTCAATTTGTAATTTCTCCATTCATCCTCTTTTTATTGATTAATTGATTTTTGAGAGAGAGAGGGACACATTGATTTGTTGTCTCACTTATTGATGCATTCATTAGTTGATTCTTGTTTGTTCCCTGACCAGGGATTGAACCCACACCCTTGGTCTTTTGAGATGATGCTCCAACTGAGCTTTTGAATTGCATCTCCCTGATGATTAGTGATGTCAAGCATCTTTTCATATGTCTATTGGCCATCTGTATGTCCTCTTTGGAGAAGTGTCTATTCAGGTCCTCTGCTCATTTTCTAATTGGATTGTTTGTGTGTTTTTGGTTGATGTATGAGTTCTTTAAATATTTTTATATTAACCTTTTATCAGGTGTATCCATTTGCAATTGTCTTCTCCCATTTAGTGGGTTGTCTTTTCATTCTGCTGAAGGTTTTCTTCACTGTGCAAAAACTTTTTATTTGATGTACTCCCATTTGTTTATTTATTTTTCTTTGGTTTCCCTTGCTTGAGGAGATAGATCCAAAAAGATATTGCTAAGAGCAATGTCAAAAAGTTTACTGCGTATTTTCTCCTCTAGCAATGTTATGGTTTCAGGTCCAACGTGTACGCCTTTAATCCATTTTCAGTTTACTTTTGTCTGGAACAAGAAAGAGGTCCAATTTTAATTTTTTTTGCATGTATCTGTTCAGTTTTGCCAACACTACTCATTGAAAAGACTGTTTTTATACTGCTGTATATCTGTGCCTCCTTTGTCATAGATTAATTGGCCATATAGCGAAGATTTATTTCTGGGTTCTCTGTTCTGTTGCATTGATTTATATATCTGTTATTCGTGCTATTGCCATACTGTTTTCATTATTTGTAACTTTGTAGTATAGTTTGATAGCAGGAGTGTGATCCCTCCCACTTTGTTCTTTCTCAAGATTTCTTTTGCTGTCTGGGGCCTCTCTTGGCTCCGTATACATTTAGGCCTAATCCAACTCTGAGAAGAGAGCCAGTGGTAGTTTAGTAGGGTTAGCGTTGCATCTGTATAGGACTCTAGAAAGTAAGAACATTTTTTTAAAGGCATTTATTTTTTTTAAATAATTATTTATTTATCTTTAGAGGGGAAGGGAAGGAGAAAGGGAAAGAAATATCAGTGTATGGTTGTCTCTCATGCGTCCCCTGCTGGGAACTGGCCTGCAACTCAGGCATGTGCCCTGACTGGGAATCGAACCACGATCCTTTGGTTCACAGGCCCACGCTCAACAGTAAGAACATTTTAACACTATTAACTTTCCAATATATGAGCAAGGTAGGTCATTCCATTTATTTGTGTTTTGTTCCATTTCTTTCTTCCACATCTTACAGTTTTCTCAATGTAGGTCTTTCACCTCTGGTTAAATTTGTTTATAGGCGTTTTATACTTTTTGATGCAATTGTAAAAGGGGTTGTTTTCATGATTTCCTCTTCTGATCATTTGTTATTGTATGAAAACTCAATGGATTTATTTTTTTAAATATTTTATTTATTTACTTTTAGAGAGAGGGGAAGGGAAGGAGAAAGAGTGGGAGAGAAACATCAATGTATGGTTGCCTCTCGTGAGTCCCCTGCTGGGAACTGGCCTGCAACCCAGGCATGTGCCCTGACTGGGAATCGAACCGCGATACTCTGGTTCACAGGCCTGCGCTCAATCCACTGAGCTACACCAGCCAGGGCCAAAACTCAATGGATTTCTGTATACTGAGTCTGTATCTTGCAACTTAACCGAAGTAATTTATTAGTTCTAATAGCTTCTTGGTGGAACATTTAAGGTTTTCTATAGATAGTATCATGACATCTGCAAATAATGAGAGTTTTACTTCTTTCTTTCCAGCTTGGATGCCTTTTATTTTTTTTTCTTTTTTGATTGCAGTGGCTAGAACTTCCAGTACTATGTTGAATAGTAGTGACACAGAGCATCTTTATTATTTCCTGGCCTTAGAGGAAAAAAAGACTTTCAGCTTTTCATCATTGAGAGTGATATTAGCTGCAGGTTTGTCGTAGGCCATTATCATATTGAGATAATGTTTCTTCTATACACACTTTATTAAATATATTTTTGTTTTACATATCAAATATTTATATATTTTATGTTTACATATAATTGTTCCATGTATTATCAGAAAAGGATGTTCAGTTTTGTCAAGTGCTTTTTCTACATCTATTGAAATGATCATATGGATCTTATACTTTCCTTTTTTTAAGATTTTATTTATTTATTTTTGGAGAGAGGGGAAGGGAAGAGAAAGAAAGGGAGAGAAACATCAATGTGTGGTTGCCCCTTGCATGTCCCCTACTAGGAACCTGGTCCATGGCCGAGGCATGTGACCTGACTTGGAATCGAACCAACGATCCTTTGGTTCTCAAGCCATCACTCAATCCACTGAGCCATACCAGCCAGGGCAATCTTATCCTTTCTTTTTCTTTTTTTAAAAATATATTTTATTGATTATGCCATTACGGTTGTTCTATTTCCCTTCTTCATTCCCCTCCACCCCACCCATTCCCCCCTTTAGTTTATGACCATGTGTGTCAAGTTCTTTAGATTCTATATTTCCCATACTATTCTTGCCCTCCCCCCTATCTATTTTCTACCTACCATCTATGCTACTTATTTTCTGTACCTTCTCCCCCCTTCTTCTTCTCCCACTCCCCTGTTGCTAACCCTCCATGTAATCTTCATTTCTATGGTTCTGCTCCTGATCTAGCTGTCCTCTTAGTTTGCTTTTGTTTTAGGTTTAGTTCTTAATAACTGTGAGTTTTCTGTCCTTTCACTGTTCATCTTTTTTATCTTCTTTTTCTTGGGTAAGTCCCTTTAACATTTCATATAATAAGGGCTTGGTGAGGATGAACTCCTTGAATTTGATCTTATCTGAGAAGCACTTTATCTGCCCTTCCATTCTAAATGAAAGTTTTGCTGGATAGATCAACCTTAGATATAGGTCTTTGGATTTCATGACTTGGAATACTTCTCTCCAGCGCCTTCTTGCCTGTAAGGTCTCTTTTGAGAAATCTGCTGACAGTCTGATGGGAACTCCTTTGTAGGTGACTGTTCCCTTAGCTCTTGCTGCTTCTAGGATTCTCTCCTTCATTTTAAACTTGGCTAATGTAATAATGATGTGCCTTAGTGTGTTCCTTCTTGGGTCCAACTTCTTTGGGACTCTCTGAGCTTCCTGGATTTCCTAGAAGTCTATTGCCTTTGCCAGAATGTGGAAGTTCTCTTTTATTATTTGTTCAAATAAGGTTTCCACTCGTGACTGTTCCTCTTCCCCTTCTGGTACTCCTATAATTCGGATGTTGGAGCGTTTAAAGATGTCCTGGAGGTCCCTCCCTAAGCCTCTCCTCATTTTTTTGAATTCTTGTTTCTTCATATTTTTCTGTTTGGTCATTTTTTTCCTTCCTTCTGGTCTGCTCCCTTGATTTGAGTCCCAGTTTCCTTTCCATTACTATTGGTTTCCTGTGCATTTCCCTTCATTTCAATTAGTTTAGCCTTCATTTGTTCCTCTAATTTGTGACTAAAATCAACCAGTTCTGTGAGCATCCTGATCACCAGTATTTTGAACTGTGCATCTGAAAGTTTGGCTATTTCTTCATTGCTCAGAGTTATTGGCTCTGGGGCTCTGAGTTGTTCTTGAGCCATGTTTTGATCTGTTCATGCCTGTTACATATGAGGAGCGGAGCCTTAGTTGTTCACCAGGGCGGGGCCACCCAGGTCCCTGGTTTGTGACGCTATATGTGAGGGCGTGGTCAGAGAGGGACAATGGCAGTCCCCTCTGCCACTTTCTGCCACTGGGGCCTGTGCGGTCCTTCTCACTGCTAGCTCCTTCACTGGTTTATTTGCGTGCTAATGTGTGACCGCAATCAGCCTTCAGTGGGTTCACCGCCTTGCGCCCTCAGTGGGTCTGCCCGCTTCTCCACACCTGGGATCCACCCACGGCTGCTGG